GGAAGTTCTCCAGAGAGAAAGTGAAAGTTTTAAGAGCTTGGGGAAGAGACGACTGCATTTAATGCCTCCGATAAGTGCTCCTCGAAGACAGCCAGTTTTCTTTCTTATTCCGACCAGAGCTCCAAGTATGAATTCAAAGGTTGCGCCAGCTACACAACATAAAAACAGATTCCGATTAAATCAGATATGTTTTCGAAACTAAAATTCAGTCTAGATTGAACTCAGAAAAAGAAGCAGTGAATTCTTGGATAGGTACAGAAGCCTTTTCTTTTTTCATTTTCTGAATTATTAATTGGGTATGGAAATGAAGCTACATAGGGTTAAAATGCTGACTGATATTAACTCAAATTAAAAGCTTGAGCTAAAGAGGCACTAATCTAGTGATTAAGGACGACAATGCTGAGGGCCAAAGAGAAATACAAGAATATGGAAAATAAGGAAGAAACTAACCTACTAAGCATACGAAGATGGCGACTGCGTACAACAATTTACAGATAGCTTTTGAAATTATAGTGCAACAGAACTCCCTTGCCTTTTCTTCCGTCAAAAGTGACATTAAAGAAAAAGAAGAAGAGTAGAAGCAAGTTTTCATGCGCAGGGAAAGAATTATGGGAACGCTGAGTCGCGAATGGTGGGGAAGAAAGAAGGTTTAAAGCTGTGGAGGAGGAGAGTCAGGAGGGCAGAACCCACGATCAAAAGTGGATCTGTTTGAGGACAAGCGCCGCAGTCCGTCCCCGATTCTCCTACCTAATGAGTCTCTGAAATTTTCAATTAGGCGCATGGTAAAATTGTGAAATACCCCACAAATTTATGAAATTCTTTGAAGAGGCGGCTTTTAAAAAAAATAAAAGAAAAAACAAAGACATAAATTTTGTTAAATTTTAAAAAATTTTAAATTAAACAATAAATATTAATTTTATATTTTTTTATTTACATACTATATAATTTAAATTTAAAATCATTTTATTAAAATAATTATCGTTAACTTCGTTGGCATTTTTTTTTTTTTAAACATACAATCACATTTCACACGTGATTGATTCCATTCGCACGTCTTTGAAGTCATCTCCGCTTGTTGCCAATTTCAGTCCGTACACATAAAATGCCACTCATTATGACGAGTCCCCCCTTTTGGTGAAACCCAAATTATGAGCAATAAAATGAGTTTCCTAACTCCTTACTCGCTCCCCTCTCTCTTTTAAGACTTCAAAAGCTGTTTTAATTATATGTAATTATGGAAGTGGTCAAGGCCAATCAATAAATTGTTAGGGCACATCAATTTTTTGTTTGTGTCTGCAAACAGTTTGTCAATAATTCATTATGTGATACTTTTTATTTAACATTTGGTTTAAGAGTGTAATTAATATATTTTTTTAATATTATTAATTATTTAAATAATTTGATGATTATATATTTTCGTTAAAAATAAAAGATTCTGAATTTAAATCGCATGACATTCAGGTAGAGTAGGGTAAGGGATGAGAAATGATTG